AAAACCAAATTAAGGGGTGAGGAGATCGGAAGTTTCATTTTCATGAACAATGACGCCACGATCTTCCTCAACAAACCCTAGATCTGCCTCCTTCCTTACAGATCTGCAATACCCACCTAGATCTGCTTCCCTCCTTACAGATCTGCAACCATGTCCTCATCTTGTGTTCAGAATCGAAGGAGAGAGACGAAGGAGACATCCAAATCTTCACTGATGTACGTTGCCGTCGTGGAGTTCTGAATCATCGGTGATGACGGCGTTTTCTGAAGATAGCGAAGATTTAGGGGAAGTATGTGAAGCTTGTTCTTCCATTGATGGGGATACAAAACACGCATCAACCGACAGTTGGGATCATGGATTTAGAGGTGCTCATGGAGTATGTGTTCATGAGTAATCATTTATAGTTTTTTTTTTTCAAAATCAAAAATCTTGTCTAGGGTTTATTCAAAATCTGGGTTTATTTGTGTGTTGAAGAACAGATACATAATTTTGGAGTGTGTGTGTGTTTCAGAAAAAACGAAAAATTTCCATGTTTTGTTTGAAAGATTTCTTGAATGGTTTTCACCTACAAAGCTTTTATGATTTGATGACATTTGCTACTTCCTTTTTCTTCTGTATTATTAACACGAAGTAATTACAAATGCAAGAGAGTAAAAAATGGAACAAATTTTTTGAACTTCTCTATTGGCGAGAGAGAGAGAGAGAGAGAGAGAGAGAGAGGTATTTTTATTTTTTTAATCATACAAATATTTAAATAAATAAATAAACTGAAAAAGCAAAAACAAGGGTAAAATCGTCATTTCAAAAAAGTTTAAAGTAAATCGGACCAAACTCGCAACAAAATGAAAACTTTGGACCTGTGGTGCTAGTCCAAACCTTTTTGGACCAAAGTGTCAATTTTCAGCAAACCACAGGGACCATTTGTGCAGTTTAGTATTAACAAAATACAAAATAAAATTAAATCTTATTTTTATTAAATCTATTAAATTAAAAGTGAATATTATCTCACGTAGGAATGAATACATGTTTTTCAGCACCCTTTTCCACAACTAATTCTAGCTAATACTATTAATCTATTACTAATACTACCCTCCATCCAAATATATCTTGGATCTTATATTTCATAAATAATTACATCTACCAAACTAATAAATAAAATACAAAAAATTCAACTACTTCCCACACACGTGGCACTCTCCCATTGCTTAATCAAATCAACATACCCTTGATCCGAACCAAGAGCAAATTCCGTCAACGAACTAACAGCCACCGACATTCCCGCACACAACACTCTAATAGCAACCTCCGCCATTTTCTCCGCCGTCTCCTCCTCCACCTCCACCATCTCCATCCCAGAACCACCATACCGCCGCCCGGACCCACCACCACCACCACCGCCTTCTTTCAACTGTTGCACATACAAAGACCCAACCCCAGCAGCAAAAAAGTCAAGCCCATCAAGCACCGGGACCTCACTAACCGAGTCAAGCAGCTTTGACCACTGGATACAAACTCCAAACACTGGTGGCACTCCGGCGGACCTCCGGGGAGAAAACGGGAACATTGAGGTGTTGTTGGAGTTGGATCCGGTGCACCGGAGTAACCAACCGGTGATCGCGTGTATGTAAGATCTCTGAGCCGTGACCCATGACTCGAAACATGATTTCCAATTTTGTAACTCGGATTCAAGATTGGAAGCCGAGCGGGCTAGCCGATGTGGCTCGGTGGACCCCACCGGGGTGTACTTTTTCGGTTTTGATGGTGTCCCGGCTAACAAAATCTTGGCTTCATCGAGTGTTCGTTTTTGGGTTTGATGACACTCCGCCATTACCTTCCACATTCTTGATAATCTGGTCATTTTATCATAATATATCATATAAAGGGCATTTTTGTCAATTCACATTCAAGATTCGGAAGTAAAGCTCGTTTGAATGGATAGGGTTTGGATTTTATATGGCTAAATGCAAGAAATAGGAATGTCGTTTCATTTATTTGTGTGTTATTGTAATCCTACTTTTCGACTATTTTTTTAATCATGACATTGTACTTTGAAATTTTATCCGATTATAGTGTTGTATTTCCTTTATTTGTGTGTTATAAAATTTTGCTTTCATTTTATTCTATTATGGCATTGTACTTTTAATTCTTATTAAGACAATGTACTTTGGAAATCTATCAAATTCTATCATTATACGTTTAAAATTTTTTTTTCTTATTAGGATGTTATACTATGAAAAATCTACACAATTACAACAATAAAATTGTGGTTTCATGTAGAAAAGTCCCATTCTTTGGGTAAATTTTTGACAAAGTCCTAAAAAAAAAATTTGAAGAGAAAAATCTCGATTATTTAATATTTTGTTCAAATTAACGAAAAAGTCTTTATTTTTATTTTAACAGGAAATGACATATTATCGTGTAAAATTAAATAACCGAGACTTTTCTGTTAAAAAAATTTAGACTTTGTCAAAAAATTTCTCAGACTTTTCAGCATAAAACCCATAAAATTGCTTTGATTTTGGATGACATTGCTATAATCGGTAGATTTTTCAAGGTATGTTGTTATTTCTTGCATTAAACCCATATTTATAAATTATAAGTTAGGAAATGACAATAATACCCTTGGATCAATTCAAGAAGCTGTGGCTGAAGTTCTTGGTCCCTTAAAGTTTCAATCCTTTTTGACACAGCTTCAACCGAGTGTATGGAAACCTTAATTTGAGTATGTAAATTTCTAATTGCTGTTCTTGTTTTATCAACCGAAGAATGGTCATCGCCTTTAGCATCATGGTTCCGAAGCTGTGCGCATTTTTTATCGTAAGCTATTCGAATCCGTTCACCAGCCTATGCAAATATGTATCAGTCACATTGTCACATCGCCATACAATCGAGCACAATACCAGATAACTATGTCCGATAAAGTATCAGGTACAATACCTGACAAGTAGTATAACTAATACACTTATCAGGTAATTTGGAGTGTACCTGATACATACATATCAGGTTGCGCCTAGTATGCGCTAGGCGCAACCTGATATGTACTAGGCACAATTTGGTGTGCCTAATTAATATTATGTATCCGACACAAATGTGTCAGATGCATATTGTTAAAGTAGTATATGTTTAGAAAGACGTATACATGTACCTTGACTTCTTGATAGAGTTTTTTCTCCCAGGCGTATAATTTGTCGAGAGTAGACTGGTGACTATTTTGAAAAATATACGAGTCATCAGACACATCACTGCTGCTAGCATAATCTTCTTCTTTTGAACTACCCGAAGAATTCATCAAGAATCTTGATGAGTTTGAGCGAGATGATGATGCAGACCGAAGTAATGCCACTGGATTTAAAATTTTCATAGCTGTAATAATAAAGATTACCCGACATCAGTGAATGGAATAGATTTAAAAAAAAAAAAAAAAAAAGAGGAAATCTAGATAAACGCAACCTATTTTGTATTGTGATTAAATCATTATATTGTTTTTTACCATTTAAAAACGGGATTTTCTGAGGTTACCTGATTTTGATATTAGTAACATACTAAACCATTATACTCTTCTTTGACCGATTAGAAAAATAGTTGTTTTTTCCTACCGTAACATAATAATAGTTGTAATATTATTACTATTAAAATTATTTTTCAGCCATTAAATTTGACCACTAAAAGCATTGTTATATCAAAAGCAAATTTTCTATCAAAAAGCATTGCAATGAACTGAAATTTCATATACCTTGCTTTTTAAAAGGAGATTTCACATAGCTTGCTTTTTGTAAAGGAAATTTCACGTAGCGATGCTTTTGCACATTGTTTTATTTATTCAGCGACTAAATTCAGTGGTCGTGAAATAATAATAAAATAATAATAATAATACAAGTTGAAAATATAATTTAAATAGAGAAAGTTGAAAATTCTAATAGTTATTTGCTATAGAGAAAGTTTAAATAGTTCATCAACAAAATTATATACTTA